TATTACCGAATCGTTGACATTGAGGCCTAAACGTGCGGGTAAAGCTACATTTACGTGCTGTGGGACAAATATTGAGTGACAATAGTGCAGGAACGGAATATCCTGAACGACAAAATGAATGCCATTAACAATTTATGTAATTATAATGAAATAGATTCAAGTATTCAGGATCCGTTCCCTCGTGGTTGTTTGACTGTCGGTAAGTCATGTTCATCAAAAGGTTTGGTGTCCAGCGGCTTTGCTGCATTTTCTTGTTTTAAATGACGATTGGTAGAATTTGAGTCCTGAGGTTACTCACCAAATAACCCCAGAAATAAAACAAAAATGTGGCATGTGAGAGCACAACAATGGCCCAATACACCAACTATCAACAGAAATGATAGAGAAAAGGATATCATGTCAAACAAATACAAAACCACACGGAAAGTGTCCATTTTAACCACTGACCTTTACAGTTCAGAAAGCACGATAAGATTGGCATTTCACTTTTAAAATGTCAAATCTGATTCACTTGACGACATCATTAGTTCAAAAGTTCAGTATCGATTAGTAATCACCACGTGCTTGGATGACGGCGTCAACCCTAAGTATCATCCCTCCAGTTAGATGTCGGAGGCCGTGTTAGTCCTTCTGTGTTAGCCGCCGCCATTCTCGATGCGATGCTGCTTCCAGTCCAGGGAGGTTTGGTACAGGAGGTTAAAGTACCTGTACACGTCGGCCTATCATGTTCCCAACATGCTTTTTCGGATTCAAACCCGGGCTCATGGCTTGCCAGGGAAAAGACGTCACGGCTTCGCTTTGAAGGTAAGCAGTTACTGCCCTTGTACGATGAGGTCTAGCGCTGTCATCCATAAACACAGGACTGATAGGGGATGGTTGTTCAAATGGAGGACAACAACTGGTTGTAAGACGTCTCTGATGTACTGATCACCTCTAAGATTTCCGCGTATGGTAACCAAGGCATTTAGTCATTTAGAAAAAAGCGAATGTACTCACGGACCTCTTTCAATCTGTATTTACCAGAGAATCGAAGGAAGCAATGCCAGATATTAAAACAAACTAAACGTAGAGCCAGTAAACACTCAATATTCATCCGGAAAAGGTGCGAAAAAAGCTACGTCAACATCTCCATGACCAGATATGACTCACTCAAGCGTGCTTAAGAAACATGAGATATTATATGTCATCCACTGTCATTAATATTCCTCACGTCGATTAATACCGGAAGATTACCAGAAGACTGGCAACGCGCTAACACAACAACTATATTTAAAAAAGGAGACCGGAATGAGGCCTACAACTAAAGGCCAGTCTGTTTAACTAGCGTTGTGTGTAAGGTAATATAATCAATAATTAGGGAAGAAAATATGATACATATGCTAAAACACAAACTTTTCAGCGAAGCACACTATGGCTTCATTGAAGGCAGATCTACGGTGTTATAACCTCTAAAGGTCATGGATTTACAACAGAATTTATTTTCTCTCCAAAAGTGACCAGAGGCTTTGTATCATCGTTTTCATCCAGACCAATGCAAAGTGATGCGCGAGGGCACTCCAATGTTCATCAAATGAACTACACACTTAAGTCAAATGAACTACATACTTAAGTCAAATGAACTACATACTTAAGTCAAATGAACTACACACTTAAGTCAAATGAACTACACACTTAAGTCAAATGAACTACACACTTAAGTCAAATGCAGAAGCTTTGGAGTTTGTGAACTTCAATAAAAGATATCCATGTCATAATAGACAATACATTTTCATTTGTTAAACATATTTCTATTTGCGCTGGGTACTGTTAAAACTTACGGTTCAAAGTGTTCTTGTTTCATGAGCGTAGCTGAGGTTAATTTGATGTGTGTAGGCAAACTTCCAGGCGAGGGGTCTGGGGTCTGATTAGGGGCTCAAGAGGGACGAAGGTATACGTAATATGGTCTCTTAAACATTTATAGCAGCTGCAAGTTAAGTGCATTTTCCTATGAATATCAACTGCACGCGCCAATTATAATTTGAACTGTATAGTGTCTATTTCAAATCAATGCCCTCACATTCATACCACTACCAGTATACAACCTGTAGAGCGTCCTCGATACTCAAGGAGTTACGCTCTCGCTCGCGCTGTGCAGAGAGCGTAAGTGGGCGTAACCTCTGGAGTATCGAGGATGACTGCAGAAGGAAACAGATGATTGGTTATGATACATGTATCTAACGTCAGCACACTCACAATGACACAAGTTCGGGTGTGGGCGGAGCGGGGGCGGGGTCGGTGGTTACAACCTTCCCCCTAGGCCCGTATCCGCCTCAGGTTTTAGAAATTAAACGGAATAGTGACTGACAAAATTTATAGTCATGTACTTATATAGAAACGTCTAGATGGAAATTGATGGTAATTTGTCAAATTTAGTGAAAGTATCTCTCGTGTGAAGGCTTTCCAGTCATCATGATATGTAAAATGAAATCTCGCTTATATCGGGTTGAGGGTTCTTTCTCAGGAACATAACATACCGACGGGAAATTATGTTCAGCATCAAAACTTTGGTCATTGTTAGATTTCTGAACAAATCACTTAAAACACATACGATACAAGCGATCGCAGGATCATCGGTTATAAATGGGTTTATAAAAATAAAACCGGACGACTCTGGAGCAAACCTCAAACCAGAGATGTCGTTCCTTCAGCGCACGCATCAGGTGACTGGTTACTGTACATGGGGGTGTCTGTGTGTAAACTTGCATCAGGTGACTGGTAACATCGGGTTGTCAGTGTGTAAACTATCATCAGGTGACAGGTAACATGGGGGTGTCAGTGTGTAAACTATCACCAGGTGACTGGTAACATCGGGTTGTCAGTGTGTAAACTCGCATCAGGTGACTGGTAACATGGGGGTGTCTGTGTGTAAACTCGCATCAGGTGTCTGGTAACATGGGGGTGTCTGTGTATAAACTATCACCAGGTGACTGGTAACATGGGGGTGTCTGTGTGTAAACTATCATCAGGTGTCTGGTAACATGGGGTTGTCTGTGTGTAAACTATCACCAGGTGACTGGTAACATGGGGGTGTCTGTGTGTAAACTATCACCAGGTGACTGGTAACATGGGGGTGTCTGTGTGTAAACTATCACCAGGTGACTGGTAACATGGGGGTGTCTGTGTGTAAACTATCACCAGGTGACTGGTAACATGGGGGTGTCTGTGTGTAAACTATCACCAGGTGACTGGTAACATGGGGGTGTCTGTGTGTAAACTATCACCAGGTGACTGGTAACATGGGGGTGTCTGTGTGTAAACTATCACCAGGTGACTGGTAACATGGGGGTGTCTGTGTGTAAACTATCACCAGGTGACTGGTAACATGGGGGTGTCTGTGTGTAAACTATCACCAGGTGACTGGTAACATGGGGGTGTCTGTGTGTAAACTATCACCAGGTGACTGGTAACATGGGGGTGTCTGTGTGTAAACTATCACCAGGTGACTGGTAACATGGGGGTGTCTGTGTGTAAACTATCACCAGGTGACTGGTAACATGGGGGTGTCTGTGTGTAAACTATCACCAGGTGACTGGTAACATGGGGGTGTCTGTGTGTAAACTATCACCAGGTGACTGGTAACATGGGGGTGTCTGTGTGTAAACTATCACCAGGTGACTGGTAACATGGGGGTGTCTGTGTGTAAACTATCACCAGGTGACTGGTAACATGGGGGTGTCTGTGTGTAAACTATCACCAGGTGACTGGTAACATGGGGGTGTCTGTGTGTAAACTATCACCAGGTGACTGGTAACATGGGGGTGTCTGTGTGTAAACTATCACCAGGTGACTGGTAACATGGGGGTGTCTGTGTGTAAACTATCACCAGGTGACTGGTAACATGGGGGTGTCTGTGTGTAAACTATCACCAGGTGACTGGTAACATGGGGGTGTCTGTGTGTAAACTATCACCAGGTGACTGGTAACATGGGGGTGTCTGTGTGTAAACTATCACCAGGTGACTGGTAACATGGGGGTGTCTGTGTGTAAACTATCACCAGGTGACTGGTAACATGGGGGTGTCTGTGTGTAAACTATCACCAGGTGACTGGTAACATGGGGGTGTCTGTGTGTAAACTATCACCAGGTGACTGGTAACATGGGGGTGTCTGTGTGTAAACTATCACCAGGTGACTGGTAACATGGGGGTGTCTGTGTGTAAACTATCACCAGGTGACTGGTAACATGGGGGTGTCTGTGTGTAAACTATCACCAGGTGACTGGTAACATGGGGGTGTCTGTGTGTAAACTATCACCAGGTGACTGGTAACATGGGGGTGTCTGTGTGTAAACTATCACCAGGTGACTGGTAACATGGGGGTGTCTGTGTGTAAACTATCACCAGGTGACTGGTAACATGGGGGTGTCTGTGTGTAAACTATCACCAGGTGACTGGTAACATGGGGGTGTCTGTGTGTAAACTATCACCAGGTGACTGGTAACATGGGGGTGTCTGTGTGTAAACTATCACCAGGTGACTGGTAACATGGGGGTGTCTGTGTGTAAACTATCACCAGGTGACTGGTAACATGGGGGTGTCTGTGTGTAAACTATCACCAGGTGACTGGTAACATGGGGGTGTCTGTGTGTAAACTATCACCAGGTGACTGGTAACATGGGGGTGTCTGTGTGTAAACTATCACCAGGTGACTGGTAACATGGGGGTGTCTGTGTGTAATGCAGGTGAATGGTTGACCCATACCCTTTGTCTTTGCCGATGAATTTGGGTCACCATCTGCTATCAATCCCATGGCCATGCAATGATGTTATAAGGCCTAGTATGGATGGTAGGTCAGTAGGACTCAAGTTTCATTATCGTTGTTACTACATTTGTATCTTTCACTCATGAACTGTTATCTAGTTTTTGTTAGGCAGCTGTGCGCTGGCTAGACTTGTATAGCTTGTCCCCATTTCGGCACGTATAATTTTGTATAACGATCATCTCCTGCAGGTTTCCATACATTCACCGCGTCTGGCAAGTTGCATACCAAACCCGCTGCACTATGTAATGCTTACCTGGAGGGACAGGGTAGACTCGTCTGCTAATTCCTACAGCACATTTTCATGGTGTGTGGTTATGTATACATGAAGGTCCCCGTACCATTGCAGAAAACGTGTACGTAAACAATGGAAACAACAAAATCATCCGTTATGTCGAATTTATCTGAGTGAGTGAAGCTTACCGCAGGGGTTAAATACAGACGTGTATGTCCTAATATTTCACCGTCGACATTGTACCCACGTGTGCGATGTAGAGGAATATAAACGCCGGGGGGATTTATTGACAGTTTCAACAGTTCACAAAAGTTCACCTGTTGAACTATAGGGATTTTTTGACCTGACACACGCATGCGTAGTGCATGGCTATTTCTACTATATTTGGGATAGAAGCACGTGGAGTTGACGACTAAACACCTTATCAGACTTACGAGTTTACGTAAAATGTAAGTATAGATTTATAATTGATTTCATATACTTGTAACGAGATGGAAATTTTAACACGTGTGAAAGTTCAACCAGAAATGAATATGTTTTGATTTAACTGCTACCAGCCCCTAGGTTTAATGTAGACTTTCTCAGCTGCATCTTACTACTAGCTTATCTCCCTCTAAGTTTAATTGGAACTTGTGTTTCTTTTTTCTTAATAATTCAATATTCTAGAGACGGTAGCCAGTCTAGGTTTTGATATATACATGTACTTTTCCGATTCATCCGACCCAGACGTGTATCGGTGCAAATATGTGTGTACTAATGCTTATATACCGTATCTTGTCGTATAAACGGGTTTGGGATTTCACATTCATCAATTATTATTGATACGTGCAAATTGGCACGCGATTCACCGCGTTTACTTGAACCACTTTGTCATTCGACACTGAATTTAGAACGACGAACATATATATATATGGTCGTATATATATACAAATCTAGTGTACGGCTTGATGGATAGTTGTATGCAGAATATATAATGCATGAAGTCAACAACGGTCCATTCAGGACCTGTAATGTCAAAGAGAAAATACAATATATCTCGTTCAAACTGTTACAATACTGACGTTTACATTGGACTAGACTTTTACGATTTGGAAGTGGACTTCGTCCAAAAACTTCTTTGTGTAAATGTTATTGATTTTGTCTTTGGCCATTTCGTAACAACAGTATTTATCCGGAATGGCTGGACAGGTCCTTCTTCTAAAAACATTCTTTTGTCCTCCGCTTCGACTTCTGAGCATGTATTTTATTCAAATATTTAGTAGCATAGTTGCATAACATTGTTAAAATCTCCCAGTAATAAGTTGCCTTCATATGATACAGCATAATAGCACCTGGTAACATATCCTGCATCACTAGTATACATCAGCTAGCTTTAGGAAGGCCCTGTACCATAACCTGCGCATAATACACGAACGATTTTATCATCAGTGTTATATTTGTCGTTCTGTGCCACAAAATACACCTTTTTTTAACTTAAACAATAAATATCAAACTACAGAGAAATTTAAATTGAAATAACACCTGAAGGTTTTCACGTAGAACTCCGCAATTACCTCGAAAGTCGGCTCTTTGTATACTGGTGTCAGACATTTAGGATAACGATGCAGGGTTCAGCTTTCCTCCATATGGGAGTATATACGACCTTTTAAATGGATTTTTACCCAAAAATGTTACAGGCTTGCTATTTTAAGGGGTCAGAATTTGGGAATTATCCCCCGAATTCGTATGCCTTGCAAAAAAGCCTAACGATATAAGAGTTAGACGTAATATTTACACTAATGTACCACCCAAATCAGTTCTTGCCCAAGCGGTATAAACTCATTATTTACACAAATGTACCATTACAGTAAGACCTGTCGTGGTGACATCACTCAGGCTATTTATCCGCTTGACTTCAATTATTAATGGACATTCAAGTCCTCGGGCCTTTCACACAGATGAGTCTGTCTATTTTTATCAGAAGCTTCTCTAGAATTTCGCCATCTATTTTTTATGAATGATTAAACACGCATGGTTAGCTGGCCGTGTAGGATTACAATGTAGTGCTGTTTATTTCCTCTGTGGTATTTTCTTGCACCACTTGTCAAAGGGGAAAAAACCTGTCATTTGAACCAAAACTCGGTGAAACTTTTAGATTTATATTTTTTTCACTTACGTGGAGTGTATACGAAGTGAACACTTGGCTAGCGAAGATGGGTTGAAATCTGCTTCAATTTATGAAATTGCGATGGCAGATTCGGTGGCGTGAGCTTTGAATATTTAACTTTAGACACTCATGCGTATACGTATTTAAAAAAAATTCTAGATAACTTGCTTTCCTACAAGTTTCTGACTTAAGTTTGAAGACAAATTAAATATATCTTACATCAATCTCGTAAAAACTAATTTAAGTTCAATGTCGTATGTTCAAGGTCAAGGTCATAGCTAAGAATTGTGACTTTCAACGTATTCATGCGTTCATGGTTAAAGTTTTCAACCAAAGTGCACGAAACTTTAAAAAATTATTCTTGATACCTCTGACGCCGGGACAGGTGATGGTCAGTGGAATACGTCAAAGGTCAAGGTCTAGGTCACAGCCTTAGCATCTGTATATCTTGATGGGTAATATAAAAGCAAAATTTCATAAAACGCACTCCATACTTCAGCATGTTCGAATTACATGTACATGCAGGTATACATGTACACGTAGCTTCCCTCACTAAGACCATCAGTCTGACCTCACTGAGACTGAGTAGATAAGTACATCAA